TGGCAAGGAGCCTCATTGAGTGTCTTTGTTCTGCTATCCGCTCTACTCAGCGAGTCTGAGGGTTTGGAGGCTGTACCTCATCATCTGACTGCTCCAGCTGTTCTGATAGTGCCCGAGTTTAATCAGCCTTGGGTGATTCCTGGTCTGATGTCTCCTGCGGCTGACATTCCACTGGTTAAGCTGGAGCAGCTTCTTCAGATTCAGAGTCCTGGGCCATGACAAATCAGGACAGTTGTACCATCCCCATGTCGGCTCCACCAGAATTTATCAACAAATGTAATGGGTGTCTCACTGGTGTCCTGGCCTGAAACCCAGCTGAAAAAGATCCAGATAACCTGCTTCCTACAAAGCCCTCTAATGTTGCAACCTGGCCACCTTCTCAACAATCTTCTACCAAGAGGGTGGAAACTGGGTTGAAATTGTCCATTGCAGTGGGTTCAGTGATGGCTTCTTGAGGAGAAGGGCACTACCACTTCCTACAAGGCAGGCAGAACCATCTCCTTACTCAAAGATGAATTCACCACTGTATGGATGCACCCACATGTCATCTCCTGGGAGGCCTTATCTAGCCAAGCGGGACACAGATCTAAAAGACAGATGGCCAATTAACAGTCCCAAGCACCCATCCATTTCCTCAGGAGTTATAGATTTACCAGGTAACAGGACAAGATCATGCCTTACTCAACTCAGCTAGATTTGCCAAGTCAGAGTCCACATCCAAATGGATCTGAGGGACTTTATTTGTCAGAGTATTACAGCGGCCCTGAAGATGTTCTTGTGAGCTCTTTCTCCACAGCAGCTAATGGGTGTTAAAAAGGGCCAGTGAATGTGGTAAGTGTGGAAAAAGATACGTTAGATCTTCCAATAACACCTACAGCTCTAATGAACAATACCCTTTGAGTTTAATTATTTTAAGAGTGTTGAGATGCCACCAGTCTTGAGTACTAGAGTAACATAAAACTGTTTCTCATTGTCAAATAAGGGAAAATACTGGGGCAATGTTTGATTTTTTTTAAAAAACATAAGGGGCCTATTTTCAGTGGATTTCCTGGGGGAAGCTTAAGATTTACAAGTGCAATTTTCCTGTTATGTACCTGTAAAAAACATGGTAATGATGATTTCCCCTCCTCCAAATGCTTATACTAACTGATACTTAACTTATACATGTAAAAACCCCACTCACTTAATGGTAGAAAGGTATACTTATACCAGAGAAGGAAGAGTTTAAGATGACATGATGTTTTCCTGAATGAGAAAATCTAACAATGTTAAGTTGAACCAGTCTAAATACATAGCCAAACAGTTGAACTATCAAAATATAATGTTGAACTATTTCAAGAGTATTCAGACCTTATACTGAAAGTTCACTGCACAGCTTAGCCTCAACAGTTCAGTGCAGACAATAGCCTTCAAGTCATCCTTTTTGTCATAACAAGAATGAAAGAAGACACCACCTGTGTTGGGCTTTCACAGCAGGAAGACACTTGTGACAAGCAATCTTGGCCCCCAGAGAATTCCTTCTCTTTAGTACAAAGCATTCAAATCTGTAGTACACTGGGTTTTTCTAAGGATGCCCTAGTGCTTCCCCTTATTTTTATTTAAATAGGGTAATTTCTCTTTTTAAAAAGAGACACATACTGAATGCAATAGTATGAATGAGTGCAGGATGCATTGGTTCATTTGCTCTTTTTTTTAAGTGAACAATGTGGACTTTGAATGTAGTATACACTAGAATATTCAGTATTTGAATTGTTGTAGAACACCAGATTGTTTTGGAAAATCTAAAATGTTTACGTACAGTGCTGAACTATGTGGCAGAATAAAATACATTAAAATTAGTATTAGTAGTATTTTGGGTACTGGAATCAATTGTCTTTGATAGTGAGTGCACAGCCAAGATATCATTTTTGACAAGCATATGTAGAGGAACATTCTAATACAAATCCCTTTTTAGGTGTTTGTTTTAAAAAGAAATGCAGACAGTCTACATTATCACTAATCACAGATATATGTGTTATGCTGAAAGAGAGTGTCTGGACCAAAATCACCCAGTGAGTTCCTGTGGTTGAGGAAGAACCAGAGCCTGACTCTCCCTGTTACCTGTCCAATACCACCAGCTCTTTATTTCCATTAAGCTTGCATTAACTGTATCCACAAGCTGAATGCTACTAGGACTTCATTTCCTGGGTCTGAATCAATAAATTTTGCACTCTTCCGGATACTTATTTCCACATATTCAGGTAAATGTAATGAAACCATCCTAATCTAATTTGAACAGTTGGATCTGTTCAACTTTGGTTTCATGAGGATGATCTCTATAAATTTATCTGTGTGATGGATCCAGTAAATAATTCCTGGAGAATTTAATACTTGTACTGTTTTGTGCCAATTTGGATGATTCTAACTAAAGAACTGGCTATGGATACTGGACTATTTTTTGCACAGAATCACTGCTGTAAAAAAGCACAAAAATCCATGGAGCCTTTGATACTGTTCCCTAGTTCCATGTCCTTTTGTAACTTTTTTGTAAAAGAGCATATTTTAAGTTACCTGGAAATGTTATTGAAAGCAGAATATAAATGTTTGTATCTGTGACAGATTCAGGCATAGGCAGGACAGACACATAAGTATAAATTTCACCCTTAAAGGGTTCTATATTCTTTCACAGATAAATAATGTTTTAGTTTTACTAACAAGATCTTAATCCTTTTCTTCCTATATCTGATTTAACCTACACCCCAGACATTGTCTTACAAATCTATTTACTTATTTACAGAATGTTCAATATTTTCTCTTAGCTTGGTGGACTCAGTTTAAATAACACGCAGCCTCTGCTTTTATTTCTGCTCTGCACTTTTAAGTACAAAAGACTGAAGAGATTCCCCCACTTTCTAAACTATTTCACTTTCACAGTCTACACTCTATTCTACAGTGTACTTTCGGAGCCTTACAGCTATGCTGTAGGAAATGTTAGTCTCATACATTAAGCACTACACCACACTGGCTCCGAATTTCACTGCCTCCTGGAAAGATTCAGAGAAGGCTGACAAAGATGATTAGCATCTGGGAACTCCTATGAAGAGAGATGAAGGAACTGGGAATATTTAGTCTTGAGAAGACAGGACTGAAGTGACATATTAGGGTTACAGATGTACAGAATGTTCTGGGATGGTTCTGTTCTTGCAACTTAAGCATGCATATTTTGGATGTTTTGGTCTGTATATGGAACAAAACAGAGCTATTGTTCTGTGATCTCTCTGACTTGTGTGTTGGCCAAATGCTGCAACAACCAAAATGTTGCAGGTTTTGTTTTGCCACACTGTAGCAATCTAAAATGATGTGTCAGAACCTCTGAAACATAATGGTTTGTTCCAGATTTGAAACAAAACAAAACAAAAATTAATTTTGTACGCATCCCTAGATATGACCGTACTCTTAAAATAGCTGAAAAGATGACCCATAGAAGAAGGTTAAGACCTGTTTCCTATCAACCCCCAGTGCTGGACATGGATCAGTGAATTTTGACTGAAGGAGGCAGATTTCAATTTAATATTAAAAAGACTTCCCAGCTGCAGACTGGCTGTCAGCAATTGGTGCCCTAATTGAACCATGCCATTGGTACTCCCCCCATCAAATCCTATGAGCAGAACATTTAATTTTCTTAAAAATATGAAATTTGACACCCTACTAATATTCCAGTTTACCTGTATGGATGGGCTACCCCTGAAATTTGTTAGTAGCAAGGACAGTTCAATAGGAGAGCCAATTACCCATAGAGGTGGTAAGTTTTTCTTCACTGGGTATGTTCAAGCAGAGGCCAGACAACCTTCTGTAAGGGATCATTTAATTTGGATTATTTCACAGAGCAGGAAGTTGGGCTCAATAGCCTAAGTCACATTGCTCCAACTTTTCAACTGTATAGGAAGGAAGGAAGGGAGGGAGGGAGCGAGGGATAATCATAAAAACTTGACAGCATCTGCCACACTTAGGATATAAGATATTCAGGCAGGCAGCCCAACTATTCCATTAAAGACTCTTTGTAGGATATTTAATTGTCTGTTTAGCAGAAGGATTGTGGACAGGTTGTAGAACAACAGGGGGCAAAACCCCAAAGAGACCATTTCTAAGATAGAGAGTTGGAAATAAGAGGCATATATCTGGACCTTAATGTCAACATGTAAGAAAGGTCCCACCTGTCAGAGCTTTAATAAATGCCTCAGTTTGACTAAAACAGTGAAGCTTTCACCTTAACTGCATCCAGGCTCAGCAGGTGGCTGCTGCCCCAGAAACATCTCCAAAGCCATTCAAAAGCAAATGAATCTGGCACAGAATCTCCAAAGCAACAGAAAATTTCCTCCTGTTGTTAGAAGATTTCAAGTTCCAATTCTTCTTGTCCCTGGAGTCCTATGTATCATCTTTTATGCTGCTCCAAATGGTCCCCCAGCTTTCCAGAAAAGTTTTACAGGAAAATAGAGGGAAAGGAAAGAAGGAACTGTGAAAATCTCCTCTTCCTTCCTCCTTCCAGCACAAATAGAACTCCAGGAATTCTAGATTCAACCCAAGCTTGAGATCACAGCACTCTATTTATTGAAAGCTCCAGCAGTATCACCTTCCATGTCCAATAATAAAATAACCTCATCTACACCTTCAGGAGAAATGTGAAAGAATGCCTGAAGTACCCTCAGAATAAGGTAGTAAAACAGGAGCCTCCTTTGCACAGAAAGAAAACTTTTGAGAAATTGTCAAGCAAATTGTGGCACATCAGTAATTTGCAAAAACTTTACTACTGTATATAGATAAAATAAGATCTTGGAATTCTGGATCCGTGCATGTAAACAGTTTTTCCAAATTTATAATTTTATTCCATACCCATCTTTTTTTTTTAATTTCCCTTTTCTCATGAGATCAAACAATCCCATAAAACTGCACAAAAAGAACACTCTTTATTCTGATCAACAAAAAGAGAACTTGATAATCCAAAAAAGAATTTCAGTAGAGTTAGGGAATGTGAATTCAGTTATCAACTTTTTGTAAATCTGTCAGATATAAATTAAATAAATTAGAATAAAATTTAAGTACAGCAAACATCAAAATACATAATTGTGTGCACTACTTTATCTCAATCCTATTAAAAACTATTACACAATATAACCAAATCTAAAGAGAGGTCTCTGTTCATGCAGTGGTTTGCTGCTTAATTAGCCACTGATTTACAGACTGAAGTAAAATTTCTGGCACTGGAGAGTTTTTACATATATGGAGAGACAGCACCGTATTTGGTTTGATGTATGATTATATATACATAGCTGTACCTATTATTACCGAAAAACAAGAGAGTGCTGGTTAAAGCAGCCATTTTCAGAACACATTCTAGAAAACCTAAGTGTTCCTTGGAAAATGAATAGAAAAAAAGAGCTTTGAGGATTGCTGCAGACTTTAGAACATGCACAGATCTGAGAAGAGTAATAATAATGTATTAGCAGCTTTTTCAGCTTTGTGGCCTCCCAGATATGCTAGAGTACAGTTCCAATCATTTCCAGGCATCCCTGACAAATGGTGGGCTGATTATGGGACTTGTAGTCTGGAAGGCACCAGGTCGGAGAAGAAGTTTATTATTTTAAAATAGACCAGGATTGTGCCCCACCAGTGAACTAAATGTTTGTCTGAGAAAGCTTTCCCAAGTCTGGTGTAACTCTGAAGAACTCTTCACCCAACAAGTTAGCAAGTTTGTATAATGAAAAGCAGGATGCACTTGAATTGACAATACAGTATTATTGTTGAATGGCGTAGAGTTGGGATTATTGCTCTAAGCTTTCGCTTTGCATATGTAAATCCATCAGGATAAAGTGAGAGGTACTGTGTTGCTTCATGATTTAATCAGTTAACAAGTGCAGCAGATTTCAGATGTGCAAAATACACAAACAACATTGTTTGCATAGTTTTGCCATTTTTTTCTTGGCCAGCTCGGCAAAATTTATTTCCTGTTGGGCAGATGTCCATGCTGCATCTCTTATCAGACGACTCTAATTATTCTGTCTTCTGTCTTTGTCAAAGAACCTGCATCCCACAGAAGCATGATTGAGGTTTGTCAGTCTGCTTCAAAGGCACTGTTGGTTGCTCCCAAACATTCCAATTTCTTTCTGAGTCATCCATATTTTCCACAGCAGGCTGGCTATGCGATGGAAGCTGCTACCAGTGAAGGGCAAAAAGGATTCTGTTCCTTGAATTGGGTTGAATTCATCCCCAGTATTTTTCCATGATTTTTTATGTGCCTATAATGGAAAATAGGACAGAAGCAATGTTTCAGAATAACAATCTTATATTTACATTTTGGAGAAAATGACTAAGAAAACGTTTTCTATGTTTTATGGCTTCATTTTACGAAAATACTATTTACAGACTTGTGGTTCTAAAGCCATCTTACACGCCAGGCTGGTGAATCTATCAGACCATAATCCTGGATAAGTATCCTTTTGTGGACAATATTCCTGTAGTAAATACAGTCAAAGTAAAAAGAGAACTTGACCATCCGCATTCACTCATACCCATCTACAAAAACATAGAGGGTATTTTGTGGGAGCCCTTAATTACATTTGGTGGGATTATCAGAGGCCCTTGTTTTAAAAATGGTGGCAAAATATAACATTTTGAATATTAAGGGTGGCAAGACAATGCAGAGAGAAATGCCAATTGCTGATCGGCCCGCAGTGGCCTGATCATATACACAGGGCAAAGGAACTAAAACATCACACGATTTCCTTTTTGGATAACCAACATTATACACAGAAATCCAGAGGATAAATGGGATATAAATGCTTTAATTGTATTAGATACTGAGAGATTTTTTATAACAACATAGAGCAGTGTTGTCCAAACTTGGCCACTTTAAGATGAGTGGACTTCAACTCCCAGAATTCCCCAGCCAGCATGGCTG